CACCTATATAAGCAGGCTTGGAGCTCATTCAGAAACACACCAACGAAGAGAAGAACTTCTAAGCTCTCTTCTTTCTCTACTCTCATTTCTCTAAGAAATTTTGGCTACATATTTATATTCATATTTTGGGTAACCGTTTTCGTCTGAGCATAAGCTCTGTGACTCACGCCCGAGTGCAAAGGCCGGCTGATTGCGGGGTTTTTACCACTAGGGGAGAGGAGACAAATTGCGCCAGGACGATAGGCGGGTCCTTAATCTTCTAGGGCAGTGACATCACAACTGCTCCCAATCAGGCCTGAATTTTCTAACTCTTTAATTTGGATTTTATATTATTATATTCCGTTTTTTACAGCAGGGAAGGCAGATCAAGTTAAGAAGAAAGAGGACGTGTGTAGAATCATGATGATCTAAACGAGAAGGAAACAGAGAGAAAGGAGGAGAGATGAAAAAACTCCGATTTTGGAATTTCTAGTCCTCCTAGTTTGACAAATTCAATTAATTGACTAATTTTAGAATAATAAAATGCCATAAAGTCAAGGGAAATATGTATAACTAATCTTTTTTTTTCTTTCTTTTTTTCACCTGCACCGTCGAAAAGTCGGAAGCTAGCCCATGTGACTTGTGTGAAACTACAGATTAAAATAACTGATGCATTTTGAAAACTTTCTGTAGTTTTGGAGGGTTCTGCAGGAAAATTTTAAGGGATATCAGATATGTGCTCTGTCCCTTGCTATTATGGAAGCGTACGATACGTCTAACTTTGTATGAAAATTAAGCTATTCTCTCTCTCTCTCTCTCTTGAAAATTAAGCTATTCTCTCTCTCTCTCTAGTTTTGGAGGTTCTGCAGGAAAATTTTAAGGGATATGTGCTCTGTACCTTGCTATTACGGAAGCGTATGATACATCAAACATTGTATGAAAATTAAGCTATTCTCTCTCTCTCTCTCTCATTAAAACAATTGGTAACAAACTAACAATGCAGCGGTATGAATCTACTAGTACTTGTAACTTGTGTAAAACGTAAAAAATATCATTCATACTACAGTAAACCTATTCATGATATAATATCACTCATAAAATTAAAATTAATGTTTATGATACAACAATATTTTCAGTCTTAGCCATATTGTTCATGCTGTAATAATTTTTTTTCCATAAAAGTTGTTCATGCTATAATGAAAATTTGGTCCTTTATCATTGTTCAAGCTGAATTACCATTTTTTAACCATGAAAACACTATTTATATCTTCTTTCTCTTCTTTTTTTCGGTCTTGCAAATATGAATCTAACCTTTATCAAATATTTCACAAATATAAATATTTGCAGGCTCTATTATAAAAATTTGATAAAACTTGCTAATTTATGTATTATTTTGTTAACTAGTTTAAAAATTTATTCTGTAAATAGTAGTAGAAAAATTATCACTGAAGTTTTTATAAATAATTATATATAGAAATCATATTATCAATTTGCCGACAGAAATAACTCGGTAAAGTAATACCCGCAGCTACGTGCGGACTTAATACTAGTGTTCAATAGTCGACTTTTTTGTTGAGCCATTCACACCGGCGACCTTGCCATAAGTGAATGTTTGTTCACTCGAAAGTGAAAAGCAAAGGTGTGAAAGTAAACTGTTTTTTTCACTTCAGATTTTTTTTTAATTGAATGTGATGCGAAATGCCAAAAATCATCATATAGGAAATGCATATTCTATTTTCCCAAAAAAAGTTCAGAAGTCACCTGAAAGTTAAAAAAATGGGGACCATTATCAGCCAAATGTTTAATTTTTTACTATATATTTGTCGGACAAATTTTTAAAAACAACCACTTTTTAAAATTAATAGGCAAAAACGACCGTTTCAAAAAATAATCGGCAAAATCGACCATTTTCGTCTGAAAAGGGTCGATTTTGCTACCCAGATTTATTTAGTTAGGGTCACGGACTACTTAGTCCCGTAGCATCCTAATTCTTCCTCCCTAACTCACCCTGTCCATATCTTCTCTTCTCATCACCTCCCCTCTCTCTCTAAACCAACCAACCTCGCAAATCATCTCTCGCCCAACCAGCCTCTTCACCTCCTCTTCCTCCCCAACCACCCGCGCCACTCCACCCTCAGTCACGCCGCCGCCATCCCTCAGATCCACTCTCTCATCATCACAACACGCCAAGCTCCCCCCTCCACACCTCCCCTCAAACGCCTCTCCACCTTCAATATCCACCTCTCCGTCTCCTTCACTCAAATCAGCCACTCTCCCACCCACCACACACCCAACCCCCCACCACCTCTCCGCCCTCTTAGCCACCACACCGCCCCGTTTTTTAAGAGCTGTATTACCGCGAGGTTTTTCTATTGATTCCATGGTTTTTCCGGATAGGAGGGCGGTGAATGCGCTCGACTGATTTGGGTGGGGTGTACTGATCTTGAGATTCGTGTCGGTTGACGGATCCGGGGTTGGCGACGAAGAGCCTGATTGTGACGATGATTGCTAAGGAGAAGCGAAGAAATGCTATGAATGAAACGAAGAGAGAGGGAGGAGTTAGGAGGGGGTTGGACGCAGCGTCAAAGGGTTGGCAGGTGGGAGAGGAATGGAGGCGGCGAGCTGTCCCTAGGAGGCTGGGGAGGGGGAGGTGAATGAGAAGAGAGAGATATGGACGGGTGAGTTAGGGGAGAGAAATAGGATGTACGGGACTAATAGTCCCGTGCACCCCAACTAAAAAAATCTACGTAGCAAAATCGACCCTTTTCAGATAAAAAGGGTCGATTTTGCCGATTATTTTCGAAGCGGTCGTTTTTGCCTATTAATTTTAAAAAGTGGTTGTTTTTAAAAATTTGTCCTATATTTGTCTACTCAATTCAATTGGTAACAACCTTAAAATATCTCATTAATTATTTTCTCTCGGCCTCTCTATCCGTCTAATGCCTATACAACTTCACGAATCATTGTATACGTACCTTTAAACTTATTCTGATATCCCTCTCGTGCCTATAAACTTTCACGAATCATTGTATACCTTTAAACTTATTCTGGCATCAGTAATCTTAATTCTCCTTATACAACTTTATGAATCACCATAGTCTAATTCGGCTCATATTCTCTCACGTGTCATATATTTTTTTAGCATAAATTCTAGATTTTTGTATGAAGATCACTAAATTAGAGCCGAAAATTTTAGGATTTAGGTTTTTTCCCTTACTTTTTAATTTTGTATTTAGATCAAAAAATAAAGTCATGTTCTCTTTTAATAAACTAGTATAATGTCCCGCGGGTCGGAAGGCGGCGGGGAAAGAGGGGGACACCGGGCAGGATCTTTTAGCAGCGAATTCCCCATACAGATAGAGGCGTCTATCAAAAAGATACCCCGAAGGCTTCGGAATCGAGGTCTCATTAGCCGAAGAAGACCCAGGCCAATCCACGTGAGGTTTCAGACAGAAGGGAAATAAAATCTTTATTTGAATACCGTCTGTTAACCAATTTTGGGGACACGTGCTTTGCACGTGGACATGTTGTTGTATTTAATATTATATTCTTTAATAAATTATATATAAACATTTTACAAAGTTATTTAATTGCACTATGATTAAATTTTTGTAAGTTATACTATAATTAATAATCATACTATTATTAACATACATTTAATAGTTATTTAAATTAGCTTATTATTATATTATTAAACAATTTATTTAGGAGTATAATTATTAAATAATAATGTAATCATTAGTTAAGTAACACTATTGATATAATTAAACCATTTATATTATTAAATATTTATGTTATGGATATATTTTACTATAATATAAATAATGGCATTAATTTTTAATATTATATAACTTTATGTTGTAAAATATATTACCTTGCTCGATAATTAATATCATCTTAGTAATAAAAAATTAGATGATATAAATAAAAAATATTATTATTTAGGAAAAGTACTTTATATAAAAATATTGTATCCTTAAAATTTATAAGATATTTACTTTCTAACAAAAAGTGAATGACTCATAGATTTCAAAAATCCAATATTCTTATATAAAGTAACTTTTCGAAATAAAAGTTTTTAATTCATAATGTCCAATTTTTATTACTAAGATGATATTATAATATTGAAAAGGGCAATATTCGTTACAATATAAAGAATCAACCCTTATTTATACTATTATTAATAACTATAATTATGTACAATATTTTATTAATAAATAATTTTACTATTTCATCACAATTAATAATTCTTTTATAATGAATTATGATATATTTATTAACTTTTTTATCCTTATAAATTATTAATATATTTTAGCGAGTGAACAAATGTTTTGGGAAAAAGAAGAGAAAAGTATATATCTCATAAATTTCATGGATCTAAATATTTATATAAATTAATTTTCAAAATAAAAAAAGATTCTAATTTATAATGTCCAAATTTTTATTACTAAGATTATAATAATTATCGAACAAGGTAATATTCTTTGCGACATAAAGAAGTAACCCCTATTTATACTATTATTAATAATTAAAATTATGTACACTAATTTATTAAATGAATGACCCCTATTTAGCTTTTCAACACAGCACAATGACAAACATTTGTTCAAAACCCAAAACTACCCTTAACCCATTTCATTTCTTCTTCTTCTTCTTCTTTCTTCTTCTTTCTTCTTCTTTTTCTTCACTTCTTTAGCCTTTTAGTTTTTGGGCTTTTCCTTTGTTTCTTTCTTTCTTCTTCTTTACTTCTTTAGCCTCTTAGTGTTCTAAAGCACTCTGTTCATCTTACTTCTTCTGAGACCCATTTTACTTCTTCTTCCTCTTCTCAGTTGAAGGTATGAGTAAACAAGAGTATCTCAATTTCCTCAAGGTACAGGTACTTTTATCCCTCTATCCCTATGTTTGCCTCTTCCTTCTATTTTTTTTCTTTTTTGTATGACGTTAAATTTTCTCTTTCATTCTATCACATTTTTCTTTTGGCCATGTTTTTTTGTTCTATAGGTAATATTTACATATTTATGATGTCGTTCCCAACAAAAAATGCATTTTTCCCTCTTTTTCTTCTTGACTGTAAATTTCTCCTGTTTGACACCGCCGCCGCCGGCGAGAAACCCAACAACAGCATTTCAACAATCCCCGTCGAAGACGAAGAGATCATCGGATCCATGGTCATGGGTACGACCCCATCTTATTCATTGGAGTCTAAATTGGGAGACTGCAAACGCGCTGCAGGTGTTCGACACAAGGCCTTAAAGAGAATCACTAGCAAAAATCTCAACGATATACCTATTGATGGGTTCGATTACGCCTCCATCCTCAGCCAGTGCTGCGAGATGCCGGTTGGGTTCGTCGCATTGCCCGTTGGCATCACGGGCTCGCTGGTTTTGGATGGGAGGACTTACTACGTTACGATGGCCACGACCGAAGGGTGTTTGGTTGCAAGCACGAACAAAGGGTGCAAGGCTATCGGGGAGTCAGGTGGGGCCCAGAGTGTTGTGCTTAGGGATAGGATGATGAAGGCCCCGACAGTGAGGTTTATGCTTAGGGTGCAAGGCCATTAGGGAGTCACGTGTCATGTTTCATTGTTCAGTTGATTATACTATGTGTTCTTGTGGTTTGGTTGTACTTAGATCAAAATTTAATAAAATGTATTATGTCTATTTAGTGATCAATTTTGGTGTAATTTATTGCAATTGTATGTGAAATGTATTATGATTGTCATGTGAATATGTACAAGTTACAATAATATATACATAATCTTGAGCATGTTAACTCTCATGACTTCCTAGTCTCATAATACTTTTCAATCAATTTATCCTTCAAATTCAAGTTTCTCCTCAAATCAATGAGTTCTTCTCTCATAAGTGGAAATAATTGAGTTCCCACACTCTACACAGGGTTGTCAAACTACTCCTGAAATCTACAACCATCATTCTAAAATTATGCACAAAATCAAAATCAAAATCAAGTTAAATCATGAATCATAAATCACAGCCACTTGAGAAAAAAATAATAATAAATTCAAGATTACTTACATGAGGATTTTTATTAGTCATAAAAGTGTAATACTCACACTCTAAACCTCATGAACAAAACTCGACTCGAAGCACCCCCCCTAACTACTAGATAGAGGCTATCATCTTTTTACTAATTTCACACATAGAAATATTTCCGATAGTTTAATCTGATACTTCTCTACATCTCCAACAATATACACATACACCTTGTTAAGAAATTATGAGAATATAGAATGTCAGTGAATAAAAAGGGAAAGAAAAATGTTCAGATGTGAATTTAGGAAAAGTAGAGATTTTACCTCACTTAATAACACACACATATTAATAACCCTCATGATAAGGCCAATAGCTGAATTATGAGAAATTTCATTCAAGTTAACTATTATCATGTCATCAAGAAACATGTAAGCTCAAGAGAACCTTTATTGTGGATATTAATTTAGGTGTATAAACAGTTGATGTGGATGACAAACATTACAGCAAGCTTGACATTTATTGTTTATATTGTATTTCTGGTATTTTTACTACCATATATTTACGTTTTGTTTTGATACAACATATATTTACTAGGTTCTAATGAAAGCTACATGTTTACTTGAATGTCAACAGGAAAAGCTAATACTTAACATGTACATTTGACAAATTAAAAAATTTAGTAGCTGTTGGACCCTAGAGGGGGGTGATTAGGGTCAAGAGGCTCTAAATATGCAATAAAAATAAAGACAAGCAAACCACAAAACAGTAATGCAATTAAAGTAAGAGAGATAGGGTTAGAAGTCGTTATCCTTTGACGCGCGATGTGTTAACGAGGTTCGGTCCGCTGACCTACGTCCCCGCTCCCCACTCTCGAGGAGAAATCCACTACACACCCGGTTTGGAAGCCGGAACTTCGTCTACACAGCGATTCCCTCTCAATCTCTCACTACACGGTTGATCTCAATAGATCCCACACCCTCACAGTTGATCTACACAAGATCACACTCACACAGTAGTAGAAATGATTGCAAGACTCTCTCTTTACAAGTACCTATGGCAAAGAGAAAGAGCACTGAAGCTGGGAAGTGAACTCACACAAGAAACACAGTGAAAAACCACAGAGAATAGAGTTTGAAAATTTTCCTCAGAAGACAGCGTCTCTCTGGTTTTTTAGCAGAAGTTAGGGCAACAGGAAGAAGAAGAAGTCTGGGTTTAAATAGAAGAGATTAAACATTTTAAAATCACAACTCAATCTTCCCAATTAAGAAAATAATCTCTTATTCAGACCATTACCACAGACTGTGCCAAACACAGTTAAGTGAAAGCACAGTATACAAGGCAAACGACCGTTTGAGAAAATGTCACGGTTGACCGAATAAACCATCGGTCGACCGCCAGAACGTTCGGTCGACCGAAAAGATGAATTCGGTCGACCGACCGAAAATCCGGTCGACCGCAAGCAGCTTTGAAAACTTAGAAAACAAGCAGAGCCATCATCGGTCGACCGACGCGGTCGACAGATAGAAAAATCGAGATTTCAGTTGACCGCACCGGTCGACCGTCGACCTCTCTGGAGCCCAGTGACGAATGAACTTAAGTGCGGTCGACCGGTGTGGTCGACCGGTGCGGTCGACCGCATTCTGATATGCTCCAGAACAGTATATTGACTCAAACTAAAATATTTAGAAAATATTTATTTGATCTCTGAAAATTATGAAACTTTGTAAAATGTTTTGAATAATAAAAACAAACTATTTGGAAAAAGAATTTTACAGATAGGTCCTCATACTTGTGAAAAATAGTATTTTGCGAAAAAAACTTAAAAGCTTAAGTATTAAAACGTGTGTGTAAGTCCCAATAGCTTCAAGTGAATTCAATAACTCTTTGCCTACATTCTAATACTAGAGAGAGAATAAAACTAGCTAATATCCTCACATAGAATACGATCTTTGAGTCTTGATATAGCTTGAGTTTGGATGAAGCTTTTATATGAATTTGTTATTCTTGAAATAACATTGCTTCATTGCTATGCCTCCTCCTCCTTTGGATATCATCGTTGTAGCGTATATTCCATCCAATCCTCCATGAATGGCACTAACAAGCTTGATATATGAGTTTACTACATTTTCACTCAATAAGCCATTAGTACCGTTAATGGTGGGTGTAAAACATCATCAAAACATAAGGGCTAACAATCTCCCCATTTTTGATGATGACAACCAACCATTATAAGAGCAAAAATAAAATAGCTTATAGATAGGTGTTCCCCCTATCTATGAGCTCCCCCTAAGTATATGCAACAAATGAGGAGATTTCTCTCCCCCTTTGTCACCATCAAAAATGGGGTAAAGAGAAATATAAAATGCAACTAAACAAGCAAAAAATGTAGAACTTTCACATAGTGCATAAGCCAAAACCATTTCTTATGCGACAAAAATCATCCTCTCCAAGAGGCTTAGTAAATATATCCGCTAATTGAGATTTTGTGTCAATAAACACTAGGGATACATCTTGTCTCTCTACATGATCACGTAAGAAATGATGACGCACATCAATATGCTTGGTTCTAGAATGCAAAACCAAATTTTTGTAAATATTTATAGCACTTGTGTTATCACAAAAGATTTTAATATTTTGAAAACTCAAATCATAGTCAACTAAGCTTTGTTTCATCCATAAGACTTGAGCACAACATAAGCCGGCGGCAATGTATTCCGCTTTCGTAGTGGACAATGCAACACAATTTTGTTTCTTGGAAGCCCAAGAAACAAGTGAATTTCCTATGAATTGGCATGTTCAACTAGTACTCTTGCGATCTACCTTACATCCGGCAAAGTCGGCATCATAAAAACCATATAAATCAAAAGAGGTGCTTCTTGGATAAAATAAACTAAGATTAAAAGTACCATTAACATATTTAATGATCCTTTTAACCGCAATTAAAGGAGATGCTTTAGGAGATGCTTGAAAACGTGCACATGCACACACACTAAACATAATGTCGGGTCTACTAGCGGTAAGATAAAGAAGACTACCTATCATACCTCGGTATAATTTTTGGTCCACGTTTTCACCACTCTCAACCGCATCAAGCTTAACACTAGTACTCATGGGAGTAGGCGCATGCTTAGAATTCTTCAAATTGAATTTCTTAACCAATTCCTTTGCATACTTGCTTTGTGAAATGAAGATCCCATCCTTAGTTTGCTTGACTTGTAGCCCGAGAAAGAATGTAAGCTCTCCCATCATACTCATCTCAAAGTGATCTTGCATGACTTTAGAAAATTCCTTGCACAAGGATTCATTAGTAGCACCAAAAATAATGTCATCCACATATATTTGAACTAAAATAAAATCATTTTTCCTTTTTCGCACAAAAAGAGTGTTATTAATTGTTCCTTTGGAAAAACCATTTTCAACAAGAAAACTAGAGAGGCGAGCATACCACGCTCTAGGAGCTTGTTTCAACCCATATAAAGCTTTTTGAACCCGGTAAACATGATTAGGGAAAGCATGATCTATAAAGCCGGGGGTTGCTCAACATACACTTCCTCTTCTATAAAACCATTTAAGAAGGTACTTTTAACATCCATTTTCTAAAAACCCATTTAGTACCAATAACACTAGCATTGTTAGGTCTAGGAACTAACTTCCAAACTTCATTTCTTTGAAAATTGTTTAATTCTTCATGCATAGCCAAAACCCAAAATTCATCATTCAAAGCATCATTAACCTTTTTAGGTTCTAGTTGAGATAGAAATGCAACATTACCACACTCACTCAAGGCTTTTGAGCGAGTAATAACTCCTTTTGAAGGGCTTCCAATAATTTGTTCCTTTGGATGATTTGATGTGAATTTCCAAGCTTTAGGAGGTTCAATTTGTTCATTGTCATTTGAGCTATCCACATCCTTTTGAGCTTCTATAGAAGGAGTATCATTGATTTGCAATAAGTCCAATCCTCCCTCAACATCATCATCATTATCTTTCCTAGGTAGAAAAACTTGAGAACCAACATTAGTTTCATCAAAAGTAACGTTTATAGATTCTTCAACAACGAGACTTCGTTTATTGAAGACCCTATAAGCCTTACTTCACGGTGTATAGCCCAAGAAAATACCAACATTAATTTTGGAGTCAAATTTATCATGATGATCTTTTGTATTTAAAATGATACAACCAAAGATATGAAAATAACCAATGAAAGGAGTTTTTCCATAAAAGAGTTCATAAGGAGTTTTCTTAAGCTTTGGTCTAATCAAAACACGATTTAAAATATGACAACCCGTATTGACGGCTTCCGCCCAAAAATATTTTGGCAAATCAAATGAATTAAGCATAGTGCGTGCCATTTCTTGTATGGTACGATTTTTCCGTTCAACAACACCATTTTGTTGTGGTGTTCTAGGAGCGGAAAACATATGAGTTATACCATGATGAGCACAAAAATCATAGAAAGATTCATTTTGAAATTCACCACCATGATCACTTCTTATTTTAACAACTTTCAAATCTTTTTCATTTTCAATTATTTTGACATGATTAGCAAATTCTTCAAAACAATCATTT